TGTCCACATCCTAACCTCTGGACCCTATGAATATGTTACCTTACGTGGCAAAAGGGACTTGGTGGATGTGATTGGGTTAAGGGCCTTGAGCTGGGCAGATGATCCTGCGAGCCCCATCTAATCACGTGGGACAGGGCTGCAAACAGGAGAAATGAGGCCGACTGAGGGGTCACAGCCATGTGAAGGGTTAGAGGGTTAGATGTGAAGGGTGTTGCACAACCCAGTAGGTGCCCAGGAAGTGCTGGGCGACAGGCCAGTGAGGTGGACATTTTCTAAGCACCTGCTAAGACTGTGGATTCCAGTTTACAGCCATGCGGACACGCTACTTCGCCTCTGACCCCAAATCAACCCTTCGCTACAGATGACAGCAGTAAGGCTCAGAGAGGGGTCACCCAATTAATAAACAGTAGGGCTGGAGCTCAAATCAGGATTATTGGAACTCACCTGGTTGCCAAATCCAACACCATCCCTTTACCCACCCCCAAGATGGCTTGGCCATATGGGCAATAGTCCCGGGGTGAACAGCTGCAACGCTTCACATGGTCCGATTTTATTCCTTTGCTTCCTTCTACTGGCTGTCATCCCACTGCCGACGGCACCGGCCAGCAGGGGGCGCTAGCACCCAGTGTAAAGACCGAGTGCTTCCAGAGCAGGTCTGACGGAGTTTTTCCGTGAAAAGCCATCTCAGAAGGAAGGCCCAGGCCACCTCCCCTACAACATGGGACCCCAGCTGGCCCGTCACCTGTCTCTGCCACAGCCTGCTGGCCAGGTGCCCTTGGGCAAAGGACTTCATCCCCTTGGCTGCAGTTTTCACAGCCATAGGGGCACTGACACAGTAAAATGAAGTAACAACAAAGCTTCTAGCAGTCCCTGGCACGTAAGTTTTGGTTGAATTTGCATTCTTTATAAAGAGATGCTTAATGATTCTCGTTGGACTAGAATTTCAGCCTCTGCCCAAACCACATTTTTTTTTTCCTGCCCGGCTGTTTCTCTCCTTTTCCTCTAGTCGTCATCCTACCTATACTTCTGAACACTCTCGAACATTCTAGCAAGCACCCTCAGGTCAGTTATAAAATACCCCAGGTGCTGGATTCAAAAGGTGCAGCTGGGCATGGGCTGTAAGAGTCCCCTTCATTTGAAAACTTGTGTGCCAAGTGTAAGTTCAAGAGCATTGCCTTTGTGTGTGTATTTCCTGTCTTCCTACCTAAAAGCCAGCCATTCACTGAACGTTTACTCACTGCTTGTGTATATTACACAAGGTCTGATGCTGGGTGGGGACAGAGATAAATAAGACACAATCACATCACTGGAGGCCCCTCTGACGGAGACAGAGACACTAAGAGACATTTCAAAACAGTGAACGTGCCTATCTAGAGATCCGTACTGAGAAAGCAGCTTTCATCTGGTTCCCAGGAACCTACCAGGTACCATCCTGTGAAGGACAAATTATCCCCACTTCACAGGCTGACCTCCAAGCCCAAGGTCAAACAGGAAAGGGCAGGACCAGGACTGGAGCCCAGGTGTGGCTAAACCACTTTCTCCTTTATCCTAAGCAGGCGGGGGGGGGGGGGGGGGGGGGGGGGGCTAAAACACGTCCTTTTGCACAGGCTCCAAGATGTCTGCTAAATGTAGGTCACTATGGCTGAAAACGCATTTCCCCCCTTATTCTTGCAAATGGGCAGCTGTTCAATGAGTTTGGACCATGGCCTGCGGTTTAGCAACACCAGCCTAGCAACACGGGCCATTTGGTGGCCCAAGAGATCTTAGGGCTCTGCCGTCACGGCTGACACCCCTGGGATTTGAAGACGGCTACACACAGTGTTTCTTCCAGGTTCTGTTTCTCCTCGTCCATTAAATCATAGCCAAACAGGCCAGGAGGCAAAACACTCATTTCACGTGGTCACTCATTCCTCTTCCTGCTTCACCTGATGCAAAAGATTTTTGCGGTAAAACTTGAGCTTTACAAGAATATGCAACAAAGAATTAGGAACTCAGCGATCCAAAACCAGCTAAATGAGGGTTTTCTTGCTTTTTTTTCTTCTTCTAATGTAAAGCAGTTCCAAGAAAAGTGAAGTCACAGCCTAGGGTGCTTATTTTCAGTTCTTAGAAAAGAGCCAATTTCAAAAGGGAAGCGGCACTGCCAGTACACACAGCCGGCCCTTGTCTGGCGACGGGTGCTTGCTGATAAACCGACTTTGATTTGGCACCAGAAAACTAAAACCTCCACCCGAGATGCCTTCTCAATTGGTGATGTCAAGGAGGAAACGCTAGCCGAAACAGTGAGAGTTCTTAATATTCAAGGAAACCACAGCTCAGCTAACACGGTGAGAGCACACTTCCAGCACCGAGCCACTGGGAGCCACTGGCAGGCTGTGGACACTCGGAAAAACACAGGGCACCCCTCCTTCCCACTCCCACACTCCCGAGACCGTTCACTGCCCAGGCGGCAATACCAGCCCCATTAGCAGTTCTCAATCGGGCATTATTTACCAGAAGTTAGGTGAGGACAAGCTGGACAGGATATGGTGCAGGGAGTTCTTGGCAGTCTGGCTCAGTTTTCTAGCAGAAAAGCCGGTTTCAGATAAGGGGAGCCTCAGTAGGACAGATTCAGTGTAAGGTCGTAAGGAGCCTACCACACACCCTGCTCAAGGGCTACTATTGGGAACCCTATAATAATTTGGGCATCAAGCATTAACCTAAGAATCCTGTAACAGAGGTCCCAGGGACTACATCAAAATCAAATGTCAATGAAATCAAAAGCCACTGATCAAGAGCAGCCTAAGGACACTTGAGGACTGAATGTAATGGGGTATCCTGGATGGGATCCCAGAACAGGAAGACATTAGGAAGAAAACTAAGGAAATCTAATACAGACTTTGGATAATAACATCTCAATATTGGTTTATTAATTGTAACAAAGGCACGATATTAATATGTTAATAATAAAGAAAACTGAATGCAGTATATGACAACTCTTTGTGCTTTCTTTGCAATTTTTCTGTGGATCTAAAACTATTCTGTGTGTGTGTATTTTAGGCAACTGACAAATGTAGAAACTTACTATTCCCCCCAGCAACAATCATTTGGTGACTACCATGTGTCTGGCACATGTAACAGTGATTTAAATGCATCTTCATTTATTCTTCATATCATTGTTATGAGCTGGGTATAATCTACATTTTATAAATGGGGAAACTAAAATACAGAGAGGTTAGGTAACTTGTTTACAGTCACACAGCAAGTTGAACAACTGACGAAAGGCTCATATTCAGGTCTGTAGGGCTACAAAGCTCCTGAAATAGCTCAGCAACACTGCCTGAAAATCCCCAAACTATGAACATAAACCTGCTTGAAACAAGCTTCAAGTGGTCAACAAACCCAGGTCAGTAATAAAAATGATAATTTCCAATTTGCCCCACCTTAAAAAAAAAAAAAGCTATAGTTTAAAAACAGCAAATCCTGGCCGGCCGAGTGGCGCGTTGGTTAAGAGCTGGCTTGGAACGCCAGAGGGCCCCGGTTCGGATCCCACATATGAGGGCCAGTGACAATGCCCTCCACAGCTAAGATGCTGAACAACAGCTCAACCAGGAGCTGGGCTGCTGTGAGTCGCTGGCGACGGGGTAGGCTGCAGCCCCTGTGGCAGTGGGTTGCCATGAGCTACCGTATGTAACCAGCAACAAGTGTGAGTGGCCAGCAGCCGCCGTGAGTGGCTGCCAGGAGCCAGTGACTGGTCTGCCTCGCCCAGGAAGAGCGCAATGATGGTGCCAACTTGGGTCAGTGAAGCAACGTCCTCCACAACTAGACTGAAGAACAAAAGGACAGCAACTTGTCTGTTCCCCTTCCCCCAATTCCCCAATAAAAATCTTAAAAAAAAAAAATTAAAAACAGCAAATCCAAAACAGTGACAATACTGAATGCTGGTGAGGGTGTAGAACAGAAACTCTCATAAGCTACTGATGGGAAAGCAAAATAGTGTGTCGCCTTGGAAAGTAGAGCTACAGACTGTGTCCCCGCAAAATTCCTATGCTGAAACGTGGGCTCCGCCCTCATGAATGGGATTCGTGCCCTTATAAGAGACCCCCGAGCTCCCTTCTCTCTTCTGCCACGTGAGGACACAGCGAGAGGACGGCAATCTATGAACCAGGAAGCAGCACCTCGAATCTGGCAGCACCTTGACCTTGAACTTCCCAGCCTCCCAAACTGTGAAAAATACATTTCGAACGTTTTTTGGTCTATGGCGTTTTGTGATAGCAGCCCAAATAGACGGAGACAGTCGGGCACTTGCTTACAAGGCTAACACGGGCTTACCATATGGCTACCCGCCACTTGTGCTCCTAGGCAATTACCCCAATAAGTTGAAAACATGTCCACAAAACCTGCACACAAATGTTTAGAGCAGCTCTGTTAATAACTGCCCAAAACTGGACTCAAACCATATCCTTCAGTAGGTGAATGGATAAACAAAGCACAGTACATCATACAATAAAGCATTATTCAGCCATAAGAAGAAATCAGCTCTCACGCTACAAAAAGACATGGAGCAATCTTAAATGTATATTGCTAAGTGAAAGAAGCCGTCTGAAAAAACTACATACTATATGATTCCAAGTATATGACATTCTGGAAAGGGCAAAACTATAGAGACAGTAGGAAAAATCAGTGGTTGCCAAGCATGAACGGGGAGGGAGAAAGGACCAGGCAGAACATAGGGTTTTCAGGGCAGTGAAACAATTCTGGGTGATACGGTAACGGTGCAGAAACGTAAAACTCACAGAACTGTCTATCACAAAGGGTGACCCGTCATGTAAATCACGGACTGTAGTCAATAATCATGTATCAATGTTGGCTCATTAATTGTACCAAATGTACCCACCAGTGCAAGATGTTACTAGCAGGAGAAGCTGAGGAAGGGGGCATAGCAAACTCTCTGTACTTTCTGCTTTCTTTATAAATCTAAAGCTGCTCTAAAAAAAGGTCTATTTAAAAAAAAAACACACATACAGCATATCAAAGAATTTATTAGTGGTAGAAGATCAATAATCCAGCAAAACTCTACAGCAATGTTGGAACTAAACCCGACTCCCTTGATATTTACAATCTACGGAAATATGAGGGTCGGATAAGAGGCAGAGAGCAGCAACCCAACGTTCAATACAATCACAACAAAAAATTCGTTCCATACCAAAAATGTAAGAACTCTGCACCAGGAGGATGCGCCCTTGCAGCGTCTCACCAAAAGTTAATGCCTGAAAGTTGTTCTCAATCTTAAGTTTAGTTTGAACGAGAAATGGTGTTGACATTCAAAAGCGTTTTGGCATCTTCCATCATCGACAACATCTAAAGGAAATGGGCCACACAGGGCTGAGTGGTGACTGACGCAGAAAGAGAGAGCTGTGTCTTTGAGAGGCCGCTGCGCCACTGGACTTGCAAACTGGATGTGGAAGGAGAATTCGTGGATGGAGAATACGCGGGGGGCCATGACAGTATTCTTCTTTCACGCAGTCTGTTTTCCTGTCCACAAAACCACGGGCAACAACTGAGATTCAAAGTTTGCACCATAAAATAGGGTCGCGGTGGTAACGGAAAAAGCAGCATCGCTTGTAAAAATTGGAAAATGCAACAAGAGATTTCTGTGTGGTTTAGAGAGAATTAACACACATAAACCAAAACAGAGAGAGAGAGAGAAAGAACACATCTGCTTTTCATCAGCAAACAGTGGTCAAAGCAAAGGGGCACCAAGGGCTGAGGGAGCTAGAGCGTCCCAGCATTTAGAAACCCTACATCGGGACTCCTTGGTGAGCCAAAGCAAAGCTCTCCGAGGAACTTTTGAGAAATACGCATTGAACAATGTCCGTGAAATCCACATGGGATAAGAACCTCAGTCGTTTCGGAATCTCGGTTGCTTTTCCCATCATCTAGGGAATATTCCTGTGTAGATCTTCCACTTCCAGTGACCACATGCTCTCATGGATGGGATTATCGGAAAGATCAGTCATCTTCACAGCCTGAAGGCACGGCTCAGGGCTGCATGCCTGAACCACTCCCATTACCATCACATACTTTCCTAGAAGAAGAAAAGCCCATGGTAATATTCACATTGATGGAAAAAACAAAAGCAAAACAGAGACCCAGTCCTTCAGAGGGCTTAACTTTAGCAGAGAGGCAAATTAGAGCCATTAAAGAAAAAATGCAGAGTTGAGATCAAAAGTGCCAAGGAGGTCAGTGATCGAAATATATACATATGTTGACAATAAGTTCAACGTTTAACCTGAAGGATGACATCTGTATCTTCTTTGGTTTCTGCTTTTAAAATGTTAGGGGAAAAAATTGCAGCAAGCTATCATCATGGACAGAATGATCATGCCCAAGGAATGGAACAGACTCACATCAGAGAATGAGTTATCGTTAAACAGACCACTCTCAGGCACGGGCAGAAAACCCAAGCTTTTCTCTTGCCTGAGAACGTGACCGGTCTCTACACAGGATGAGTCTCCTTTCTGCAAAGACACCCCCTGACAGTCCCAAAGCAAATCCAATTTTCTCTTGATGTTGCCAAAAAAGCCGTGCAAGCAGCAACGACAATAACCCGCCCCCAACCCCCGCCATGCTGCGCCGTTGTTCCAGCTGCCCAGGACCAATGCCTGCCACCTCCCCCTTTATCCGAATCATTGGCTGGGCTCGTGCAAGCAAATCAACAAGAGGGCAGGCTGCCATGGGGATGATCTAATGACATATTAACTGTGACTCTCTTCCCATTCCCTTGGGGAAGTGGCTCTCCTTGAAAGCAAAACTTGGCAGGTCTTAACTACATAAAACTCAATTGTGTAAAACACCCCAAACACAGCAGGAAGGGCAGGCATACTGCCAGCCTCCACTGCGTGCCCCTGCAAGGCTGCTTTTATCACGCTGCTTCCAACAGCAGGGCTCAGTCTGCACAAGGGTCCCAGGGCTATGACTGATGGAAGCCAGGCAAGCTCATACCTGACCCTCTGGTTTTCGACTCCTGGCAAGATGCATTTAGGCTTCTCTGAACTCATCTCCAGATTCTACCTGCACAAGTAACGTGGGGTTCCTCGGTGACAGAGGCTAGTTCTAAAAATAAACTTGCCATATCCTCTGAACGGTCTTAAAGTACTGGTAGAGATGGAACCCTCAGAAAAAGAATGACTAAAGACCCAGGAAAGAAAGAACAAGCCCATGGGGTGGCTGGTTAGCTCAGTTAGCTAGAGCATGGTGCCGGTAACGCCAAGGTTGCTGGTTCGATTCCTCGCATGGGCCACTCTGAGCTGCGCCCTCCTTAAAAATAAATTAAAATGTTCAGTTTTTGGGTTTTTTTAAAATAAAGAGCAAGCCCAAGGAGATCCCAGTCAGGACAGGTTAACAGGAGACCCACTTCGAAGACACACACAGAGGGTTGAGCTCAAAGGTGTGCGCGCTTCCCTCCTGAGATCACACCACGGGGTTACTAGCCCTGTCCAGCCCGCCCACACCCTCCCCTGTGTCTTTCCAGTGTCTCCCTGCTGTCAGGCCTTCATCTTCTGGCCACTTCAACGGCTGGTCGGCTTCCAACCGCCCCCATCCCGCTAAGGCAGTGACCTTTCTCAAACCCTCTTATCACAGTCTACATCATCGTTTCTCCCCTCTTGCCCTGCAGACTAGGAACAACTCAAGGGCAGGTAGAGTTCTGACTCAATTCTGCGCATGTAGCTAGCACCTGACGTTCTGACGTTTATAGAAACAAACCGCTGGATGTCCCAGAGACGGGAGCAGTGCGGGTACAGCACTGATGTGATGAATACGGCTAATGGCCACCCTGAAATAGGCAGGTCCTTCCACAAACAGCTCAGCAGGAGGGGAGCCCTCCCACTTTCCACTACTGCCCCATATTCTGCCTCAGGCTCCCCAAAGGCACGGGCTCTCACCTCCAAGCCTTTGCACATGCTGTTCCATTGACCTGGACAACCGCCTGCCTCAGATAGACACAGGGTGACCAACTGTTCTGGTTTTAAAACTGAGGCCCCCTCAGTCCCAGGCAACCTGGGAGGGTTGGTCCCTACAGTTAATTCCAACACATCCTTCAGAGCTACCTCCTCCAGGAAGCCTTCCCGGACCCCGCAAGCCTGGATCAGTTGTCCCTTCTCTGCTCCCTCGGCAACCTGTTCAAGCCTAGATATTACTGTGTTTTAGTGGCCGGTTTACTTTCCTGGCTCCCTGCCTGAAGGCAGTGACTAGGCTTTGTCAATCAAAACTTGGTATTATCTAGCACAATGAAATGGCACAGCCCCTGCCTGCAGGCATTCAGGCTAATGGGTAAGTCAGACAGGTTCGCCAACGCCTAGCCATTCAAATGCTAAGGTGCCTACTGGTGCCAACCTCATGCCAGGGCTGGGATCCGACGTGGGAGATGCCAAGCAGCATGGGTTACATGCGAGGCCAAGGATCAGCAAACTTTTTCTGTAAAGGGCCAGATAGGAAGTATTTCAGGCTTTGCAGGCCACAGGGCCTCTGTTGCAACTATTCAGGTCTGTAGTTATAATGGGAAAACAGCCCTAGATATTATGTAAATGAATGTGTTGCGATAAAACTTGACTTATGGTCACTGATATTTGACTTTCATTACACTTTTCACATTTGGCGAAATAGTATTCGATTTTTTTCAACCATTTGAGAATGTAAAAACCATTTTTGCAGTTTGTGGGCCACGTGCTGGACTAACGCTGCAGCAGAGGGCAGAGAGGGAGGCTGAACCATGGGGCAGGGGGCAGGGCGAGAAGGGAACAGGAGCATTTTGCAGGAAGGCACAACCATCACAATTTTTTGAATCCTCCCCATAAGCCAGGAGCTGTGTTAAGGCCATTTTTTACGAATTGACTCCACACGACAGGTAGGATTTATGAGCCCCTTTTGACAGAGGCAGGACAGGTCCAAAAAAGTTAAGAAAAGTACTCCAGGCAGCTCAGCTGCAAAGGGGCAGAGCTAGGAATTGAACCTAACGTTGAAGATACAGCTGTCAAGACAGTCCAGCTCTCCCTTAGCAGGCTGGCCCAGTGGTTCTCAAAGTGTGGCCCCCGGGGACAGCAGCACCAGAAACACCTCTGAGCTGGTTAGAAACGTAAATTCTCAACCCCACCCTGGTCCTGCAGACACCACACAAAGCATGCGCGTGGGGCCCGGCCGTCTGAGCTTCCACCAGCCCTCGGGGTGAGCCTGATGCACTGTCCAGTTTGAGTACCGCTGATTTAAAAGAGGCAAAATGAGTGACCTACAGACTAAGGCAGTTCCATAAGGGAGCGCTGCCAGTTGGGGCTCCCCATCCCTAGGGGTCCCGGCGGGCTTCTGAGACGCTAAGAGGAACACAGATTTTCTAGTACAGTATTTTCCAAAACGTGACGGGGGGAAAAAATCACCTATGGGGAGCCTTGTTACAAATACAAACGCTGGGGGTCCCTCCCCTGGAGGGTTCGACGAGGATGGCTGGGGGAGTCCTAAAATCTGTATTTTTAAAATCGGGCTGCAGGTGATGTTTACCATCAGTTCAGCTCGGGTGGCGCTCGAGTGGGGCTGGGACAGGAAGGCAGGGTCCTGTGGGGGGTGGGGGGCCTGCCGGAGGCGGGACGGCCAGGCCCCGCCCCTGGCTGTGCAACACGAGGGTCAGCCCCCAGTCAGCCTCCGGCCGTTACCTGGGGCGAGGCAGGGCCGCCCGCGCGGCACCCGCTCCAGGCCGCGCACCGAGAAGGCCCCGCTCGGGTCCCGCAGCCGCGCCTCGCCGTCGCCCGCCGCCACCACCGTGCCCTGCATCCACACGGCCGTCAGCTCCAGCGGCCCGCGGCCCGCCGCCGCCCGCGACAGCCGCCACGCGCCCGGGCCGCCTTCCGCGTCGCGCCGCAGTTGCTCCGCCAGCACCTTGAACGGCGGCGACTGGGGCAGCCTTACCGCCGCCGGGCCGCCGCTGGAATACGAGTCTGCGGCCTTTGCAGCCGCCGCCATTTTCCCGCTAACTTTGATAGGCAGGGAGGCCCGCCCCGCGGGCACCAATCAGGCGCGCTGGCGGAGTCGGCCATTGGTCGGCGACGGAGGGGGGACCGCCCCCCCCCGAGCGACGCCCACTAGCCGCCAGGAGTGCGCAGGCGCACGTAAAATAAACGCCCCTCCCCACCCAAGCTCGGAATGAATGGATGAAAGAGGATAGAGAGGGGTGAAGAACTCCGCTTAACGCACCTGAAAATTTGTTGTTCATGCAAATCACTTAGAGAACGTGAGTATTCATCTTTACATCGCCTTGCATAATAGGGTACTCGGAGGTAATAAATACTAGTAAATACTGTAAGGAATAGTAACATGATGAGTCCATATTTTTTGGAGTGATCAAGAGTCAAGGCAGAAGGCTGGAAAGAGGGACAGGGACAGCTAGTAAAATTACTCTTTCTTTGCTTTATTTTATTTCTTTTATTACTATTTTTATTTATTATATTTTAATAACAAAATAATTTAAAAGTTAAAAAATAATAGATTACTATATTTTTCACAAAAGAAATGCGCATTCGTTGTTGAAAATTTAGAAAAGGAAATCTAAGATAAGAAAAAAATTGTAAAAATCACTCAGAGATATCCACAGTTAACATTCGGGTCTATTAGCATCCAGGTTTTAAAAAATATATTTGGGGCGGCCGAGTGGCGCCATGGTTAAGAACTGGCTTGGGACGCCAGAGGACCCCGGTTCGGATCCCACATATGAGGGCCAGTGACACTGCCCTCCACAGCTAAGATGCTGAACAACAGCTCAACCTGGAGGTGGGCTGCCTTGAGTCGCTGGCGACAGCATAGGCTGCAGTGGGCTGCCGTAAGCTACCGTGAGTAGCCAGCAGCCGGCGTGAGCTGCCATGAGCTGCCGTGAGAACGCAGTGATAATACCAACATGGGCCATCCTCCACAAGTAGACTGAAGAACAAGAAGGACAGCAACTTGTCTGTTCCCCTTCCCCGATTCCTCAACGCTGTTCCCCTCCCCAACTCCCCAATAAAATCTTTTAAAATATATATATATGTATATATAATTTTAATATACAGGTATTGTTTTGTATATTGTTTTCACTTAATAATAAACATTTTTCCATATCAACAAATATTCCCCGGCTTCCTCTTGAATGATTGCACAATATTCTATAATATTTGTCTCCTCACACCTATCTAACCAACATCCATGAGTTGGACAGTAAGGCTATTTCTAGTTGTTCACTTTATAAAATCACTACCGTGAACCTACTTAGAGACAAATCTTTGTGCACATGTTTCAGATAAATTCCTAGAAATGAATTTGCTCCCTAAAAGCCGGATATCCCCAATCGGCAAAATCCACAAATCCTAAACCAATCCTTAAAGTCACAAAACCAGTTCTTAGGAGATTGTGCTCCCACAGCCTCATGGAATACCAGGCATACAGAGGGCATTCGGCAAGCCCTGTTTTTTATAAAGCGGCTGAGACACTGAGCCGGGTAATGTCCTAAGAGCTTTGAAGGGTGTATCCCATGGGCTCCTACCGTCTGTAAAGACTGTTCTACTGAGGAAACTGAGGCCTGGGGAAGCTAGGTGGCTTGCCCACCACCTCTTGGCAACAGCCTCTGTGGGGTCCTGTCCTCTACATCTCAACCCTGAGCTGAGGGTCCTGGTCTGAGAAAGGAGCTGGGACATTAACTAAAGACAATCATACCTCTCCATGCCCAGTGTGCTCCCACTGGCCTATCTCCAAGGCACCTAGAGCCCAGAGAAGTGATGGGGAAGGGAGTTGGGGTACAGGCGGAGGCTCCCAGGCCCCCTGTCTGAGCCTGGGAATTTCCCACCATTCCCTTGACCTTCAAATTTGCGCAGGCCCATGTGCGTACGCGCGCGCGCACACACACACACACACACACACACACCTTCAAACCCCATCCTTGTTGCTGTCAGAGTGATCTTTCCCAAACACAAGTCTGAGCATATCTGTGCCTGGTTTATAAACTCCTGATGGTGTAATCCATACACCTGGAATGTCAGCATTCACGGCAGAGGAACTGCACATGGAGGGCCCACAGAGGAGAGTGAGCACGAAGCATTAAGCAAACTGCCAGCATTTCAGCACAGCTGGAATGCAGAATGCAAATGGAGAAGTGGGGATAGAGAAGGCTGTACCCACATAACCTCATTTCTTATCCTCATTTAACAGGTGATGAAACGGGGGTTCAGGCCAATTGACAAGCTTGAGGCCACATGGCTAGTGAGGGGTAGAGCCCGGACTCAAAGCCAAGTCCATCTGACCCCAGACTCCGTGCTTCTTGAACCCCACGTGCCATCTCACCGTCCACAGTGTCATTCACCTCCCCTATCAAACATACCTCCATACCTGTGCTCCTGCTGCTCGCTGCTGACATGCCTTCCCCCAGTCTCTCCCAGCTGAAACCCAGCTCAGTCACCAAGTACCTGCTTCTCTTCAGGGAGCCAATCTTGAACCTCCTTCCAGACCAGTTTGTTGACACCCTGCATCCAGGATGTCTCAACCTCAGCCCTACTGACATTTGGGGCTGACTAGTTCTGTGCTATGGGGCTGTCCGATGTGCACTGTAGGATGTTGAACAGCATCTCTGGCCTCCACCCACTAGATGCCAACAGCATGCTCAAGTTGTGGCAACCCAAAGTGCCAGTGTCCCCAGAGGGCTAAGTCACCCTCTGTGGACAGAGCCACTGCCCTAATCTACCATACTCACCGCACTCTGTCTTGAACCATAAATACTTGAGTCTGAGTCCGGCTCACCAGCTCGGCCAGGGGTCCAAACTCAGATGCCAGAAGCAGCCAGGCAGGTGACCTGCTGTATTGAGTGATGAAATGGCCTTCATGTGCCCCAGTAAAGAGGCCGATCACACTCAGCCAATGGTTGCCACACGGGAATGTGGACCCAGTGTTGCCAGATTTGATTTTTCTTTTTTTTCTTTTTTTAAAGATTTTTATTGGGGAATTGGGGGATAGGAACAGCACTGGGGAATTGGGGGAAGGGGAACACACAAGTTGCTGTCGTTTTTGTTCTTCAGTCTAGTTGTGGAGGACGTTGCTTCACTGGCCCAAGTTGGCACCATCGTAGCGCGCTTCCCGGGCGAGGCAGATCAGTCGCAGAGCGGCTTCTGGACGGCCGCTCACTGCAGCTGCTGGCTGCTCACACTGGCTGCTGGCTACACACGGTAGCCCATGGCAACCCACTGCCACAGGGGCTGCAGCCTATGTTGTCGCCAG